ATTCAATATAAAAATATATGATCCAGAAAGAAAATTCACTAAAATATAGTTAGTTTTTGCTGACAAAATATAATCATCCACAAAGTTGGTTGATAATTTTTCATGTAAAACTAAGATAATAATTGAAAAATAATACTTTGAAGTAGATAAATTTTTTATATTTATTTAATATATTTTTTTTAAAATAAAAAAATTTATTTTTTTATGATTATTTTATCTTTATATTATATATTAAATAAATATAAAAGTATGTCATTTATCATTATTCAAAATAATTAGATTAACCAAACTACTTAGGCAACATCATCATTTATGAAGATGGTTGAAAGAAATTTGAGTTGAATTTTGTATTATATATCCTTCAAAAAGGATGAAAAGTTATATAAATGTGTTGCAATGAAGATTAGTTTCACAATCAAGTATTTATTTATGTACAGATATCTTTCAAACTCACTGAACAATTAATCAAATATTCTAATTAGGGCAGTTAAATTATAGTAATTAAGAAAGGCTCATTGAAGAACATAAAGTAGTTAGCAGTAGAGATAATAGCATGAGAAGTTAATGGTATAAGTGTTTGAAAAGCTTAGAAAGCAAGATGTAATGGCCAACCTGCTCCCCTAAGGATACAAAGAGTCAGAGAAAAAAAGAACATGGTTTGAGAAAAACGAGGTTGTGAAGGGAAAGGGGTAACATGGTTGCAACAAATATATGAAACCTAAAATTGGGGCATTATAGATTTAGCTTGTGAAGCACTCTAAGGTTGTCATTTTGTTGAGAGAGCAAGTGAGAGGCCCCATATGAACTAAGATGGGATAAATTACAAAATTAATTGAGTTGAAAAATGTTCAAAAAATAGTCTTAAAAGATGTAGCGTGGCCTGAATATATTGTTAAGATATGATTGGATTATTACATTAGAGGAAAAAAGAGGTTATGATTACTCATACGATCACGGGTGGCAACTGTATTTACAAATTTTAGTGCCCACTGAAGAGTTTTATTCCTGGTTTTCTGCAGAAGGACCGATACTTTGGATGAAAAGGGTGTAAAGGGAAAGTGTGAGTAATATGGTGAGAGACAAGAAGATACCAATGGAAGGAATTTTTTTATACATTTACCAATATTATCTAATGTTTATTGATAAGAACGTTTTGTATCTTGTGTAGGTGGGTCAAGTACATATACCTAAAAGCTAAGTCAGTAAACTATATATGTGTTATATATATTAATTTTTGTTTGCTGACAAAAAAACCCTATGAATTGTGATATTGGTATATGATTGTGAAAGACGTAAAGAATAAGAGTTATTTCATGAAATATTAAATTGATCTCTTGGGGTGTATTTTGTGGAGGTGAAGAGGGATAAAGTTTCAACTAAGAAGACAAAACTTATTGAAGAAAATTAACGGCTTAGAGGGAAGAGGGAAAGAAAGAAATTTCTTAAAAAAATGTAATTTCATGTAGTGTTTTTTAGTTTTTGGAGAATAATATCAATACCTTTTTCGGAGATGAAAATATCATTAAGAGTAAATATATTGTCTAACCCTAAGAACATGTACACAAAACATACATCGTAACATTAGAAGACATAAAATAAATGATCCTATACAAATAAGCAAGTATGTATGGTTTTCAAGAGAGAAAGAGGACATTCAATTTATGAGGAAGCAAACCATAGGAATAGCATCATCCCAATGATGATATAGGATATTAATAATTAGTAATAATATATGGACAATTTCAACTCTGGAAACATATAAACTAATGTAAGATGACATGTGAGCTAAAAAGAGTACAAAAAGGAGAAAAAAATCATTTACGCTATCATTCCTTAATATTTTGATTAATCAATTTTTTATTTTATTACTTAATGAAGTAAACACAGACAAAAGTTAATACCCATTTTCTTTTAAATAAATTAAAGTATAAAGAAATGTTCATAAATAAATACAAAGAAATGTTCATGGTTAAATATGTTTTTAATTCCTTAATTTTTAATAAAAATTAGAATTAATTTATTTTTCGAAACTTTGATCAAATTTAATAATTGAACTTTAGAAATATGTGGGTTTAGTTCTTTTAACCAAATTTTGTTAAGTTTATTTGACGTTTCAAGGATAACATGAGTTGCTTATATTGTTTGACACATTTTCTCTTCACTATTAATTAAAAAAAATTCATTTAAAACCTCAAATAAGTTTAATAAAATTTGATTCAAAACACTAAAGTCATGCTATTATAAATGTGAGAGACTAAATTAATCTAAAGTTTTAAGAAGAAACTAATTTCAAATTTCACTAATAAAGAGATCAAAAATATATTTAATCCATAAATAAATGTAACAAACTATCAAAACCCAAAGGTAATGACCCAAACTAAACATATATGTCAAAATAAATGGTGAAAAAAAGGGTTACAACTTGTGTAAAAAGAAGATTGCATAATTGCCCAGTTAAAATAACTCTAGGACTTATTAGTAGGGTCAGAAACCATTTTCTTTAATTTTAGTAAATGTAGATGAACCAGGCGAAAAGAGTTTATGAGACGAGAATGCAAAATATGACAGAAAATTTGGTTCCAAGATAAATTCTAGATTCATGCCCTTCTGCAATCAATTGACTCATACTATTCTTAAAAAGAATTGATATCCAACGTTACAAAGCAATTTAATTACGTATAAATGGGTAAGTAGAAACATAAAGAACGAAATTTAGTTGTGAAGAGGTTGCAAGTGAGTCTTAACCAAGTCCTTGGAAAGCAACTTCAGAGGAAAAAAAAAACAAAAAAGTATTATCATACATATAATCAAAAGCGCCAAAATCAAGTATCCATGAAGTTGAACTTTTCATGATCTGAGAAACGCAAGCTATTTACAAATCAGATCGGAATAGAAAGGTGTGTTTCATAGCTAGATTTTCATCTTAAATATTTCCAATACTATGCATGAGAAAACTTTGGTTCAATCTTTTCAAATTTGAAAACAGTTGTCTAGTTAGAAAAGCCAAGTAAAGAAAAAAGCACACTGGAATATCACTTATTCTCTTTTTACAATGAAAACATTAAGGAAATTACAAGTACTTCACCCTCTTCTATTGCTAAGACCTCCCCTGTCACGTTTAACAACCATGTCAGAAGTCCACAAAATCAGTGATTCGTATCAGTAAGGGTGGGAACATGATTTGGTTGTATTTTGTTTAAGAGATACTAATTTATGTAACATCACAATATCATTTGCAAAATCTTCTCTCATCCTTTTTCTAAAAAGAGTTGCAAGTTTTGAATGCATTAAGAGTTCTACAAAACAAAACATAGTTGAAAATTCATCTTTTGTCTAATGGAATTTTCCTATCATCTTTTTCTAAGTAATCATGAAAAAAAACCTGGTCAATAAACTAAACTCAACAAATGCAACCAAGAGAGGTCACTTCTACCATTAAAATTTTCAGAAGTAACGTGGAAGTCCAAAAAGAGAAAAAACAAGAGTTGAAAACTTTTTGTGAAACTTTTTAAAGGGGAAATAAAGAGGTTCAACATATACTATGAAAATATTGCACGAAAAAAATGCTGCCTGTGACCGTTTATTCACTTTTGGTGATTGGTATGGTTGTTGCTCAACATGATGCACGACATCCAGTGTTTACCAAAACAACCACAATCGACCTTGAGTAGGCCGATGCTTTTTTGAATGATCCAGAATGTTCATCGACAAAAAAGAAGACAATAAATGATAAGGGTAGCCAACATCATATGAAGATATACATAGAAAAATTTACCAACTCTAATTTGATATCAAGCTACTCTAGAACGAGAATTATAAGTTAATGTCAAAACAAAATCCATGTCTACACAACATATAAATACAATAGAAGACAATCTTTTATCACATATTCTAACAACCCCGATAATAAGCAATACAAATAACAAATAGAAGAAAAAATTTAAAATAACCTCGATTGAAGCTTAGAGAAAATACACCTCCACTGCATAATCTAAAATATAATGCATTCCTTTCCTAAAATTGGTCAACCATTAGATCAATCTTTATACAAAAGATCCACCAAGTGATAAAACACCAACTGTTCTAAAAGTATTTATATATGAGCAAACTGCAATTTTATTCTATTTTTCTTGTTCTGATCTGCTAGCCACTATGTAGAGGGAAAAAACCACGAAAGTGCTCCCTTCAAAATACCACAACATGAAGCAAAGAAACATAAGGAACCTAATACAGAAACATAACTTATTATCGCCCAACAGCTTTCAACAGATAATAAAATTTAATCAAATAGCATTCCCAAACCACAGGGATTCTAATAACGCACAGTTTTTATCTTAAATAAAATATATTTTTAAGTTAAATTTTTAGATTATAAAATATAAAAAAAAATTCCAGCAAGCTATATGCTGTTAAATTTTAAATTATAAAATATAAATAAAACTTTCCAGCAAGCTATATGCTATAAACATGAAATACGTTTTGTATAAGAACAATGTTCAATTGTATTTTACACAATGCATGAACAGTCAAAGCACACCCAAGTAACAGGGAATAATTACTAAGTTGATACTAAAAGTTCAGATAGTGCAGCAATATAGATTAAGAAACAAGGAATGCATAAATCTTAGAAATTAATGCCGGGGTTCATTAAATAAGAATTTGGTGAGCCCCGCAGAATTTTATGATTATAAATTTCAATGAACAATAAATGTCTTAAAAAAATGTTTTAAAAGGGATGCTGCTAGCATTTCTCTTGATTGGATACTGTCCTTTCACAGATCTTAAAATCTTAAGCTCAAGCTACCGTCCAACCAAAAAGGTTACTCATGTATTTCACGTTCTCTGCTAACATCATTTCCAAAAAGCTTAGTACCTTTCTAGTACACTTGTGTTTCAATGCACTGCATTGACGGAAGATGTTCTTTACGGATAAGAAATCGTATATATAATGTTACATGCCAAGGTCATGACAGAAAAGCACAAAGCAAAAGACTATGTTGATTTTTTCCCTTGTGTTAACATTGTGCAAGCTTAAAACTGAAGAACCGAGCCTCAATATTAGTGTAAATAAGTAATGAGCCCGAGTTTTGGAATTTATATCAGTATACTTCCTATGAAAATAATTAATGTGCAAGCAAAGCAAAAAAACAATCACAGATCCACTAAAAAGCCAACTACTGTCTTAGAGTTAAATAGTAAGATATCTGCTTTAGTTGAGCTGAGTTTTAGAGTTTATACAAGACAGTTGTATTGAACTCGAGTAATGTCCTAACAAAGAAACAAACATTCTACACAGATGCCTGATGAAACATGACAAATATGAATTTAAGACTCCTGCAGTTACAGAATTTACATTGCTGTACAGAGCATTCTAATGGTATATATGTCTGACAACCCAACTGGCGTAACACCTATATGCATGACATATTTACTACCAGCTTGTTATCCCTGACAATAAACAGGAAAGCAAATACCTGAATTACCTTAAAGATAACTGCCAAAGCTCAAGATGAAAAACTACTAAAAAATATGGTGCATAGAATAGACACTAGACTAGAGGAATCACTGTTAATGTTTCCAGAAACAATGACTCTTATTTTTAAGAACTGTTCTGTTGGCCGGGAACCCAGAATACACAGATTAAAGTTTAGGCAACATTTCCTCCAGGACAAGCTAAGGAGCCTTAAGCATTTAATAGATTTAGTAATACCAAAATTTACAAACATGAATTGGTAGCCGCGCTAGTTATTTAACACCCATAAGTGATAATCTATGCAGGTAATGAAAAGGTAATATAATTTGATTGTGCATAAAACCAAATACAACAGTCATTACAAAGTACAGAAGTGACCAGATGTAGATTAGAATGCAATCAGTGGCTACCCATGATGACTTAACTCCTTAAGCAATATCTAATAATACCTCAATTTACCACAATTAAGAGGATTGCAGTTCAATTAGATTATACTCTACCTCTTTTTCTGCCTTAAGCTTGAAAGGGACATTAACTGAAATACTTTGTACACACAACATCCATTGCAAACATCACCTCTTAAGTATGGGAAAAAAACATAGACCTTTTGCAATTAACAAATATGTAAAACGTTAAATAGTTATAACAAATATGTAAAATGTTAAATAGTTATATACAGAAACAAATCATTTTAAGCTACTTTGACTCAAGTGAAACTAAACACTTTCAATAATGAAAGAGCCCTATTTAAAAAATAATCTCAGTTAGTTCTTCGTTGAATAATCAATTTAATCAAGTCTAGCCACAGCCACAGGCATTGACTTGATATACAAAGCCCTAAGTATAGTGGTGAAAGAGAGATAATTTTAACAAGCTTGCAGAGGGAACCCTTCCTCAGAGCAAGCGAGGTAGAAGATAACCATAGTAAATGAACAACTCCAGTTGTGTCTCAGAGAAGTAACTAACTATAAAGCTGAAATGGCTAGATTTACCTTGGACCCTTATGGATATTTTCATAGAGCATTTAAAATAGCTGACTCATCCATGATCTGAATACAATTTGATACAATCTAGGTTTCTAAACTGTAATTAAAGTGCACATGCCCTCACCTTCTTTTAAAAGGTTTTGGTATCTTACAGATGTTATAGACAAAACAGATGATTTTAGATTGATTGCAAATGAGAAAATGTGATAATAAAAGCATAATTAAAACATAAAAAAGAAAATTATCAAGTCCCTTTACATATATTTGACCAAACTATCGATAAGAAGTTCGACTATAGAACAAAATTTTATTGAGTCATATTCTCTTTCAGAAAAAAATATGTTTCTTGAACACTGCAGAGAACTTAAATGTTACTAGTCTGTCATATTGTAAAACATGGACTTCTTTCAGATGTATTAAATTAATAAATGAACACTTCCTTAACACTTACCCCAATAAGTGGAGGAGGCTGAATAATGCATTAGCTCGACTATGCCATGTAACAAGTTTATAGTGCTGACTGACAAACAGGTTAATCCAATAGAATATATCTTTAATCTACATACAGATTTAAAAAAGTCAAGCTTTACAAATCAGTCAGGTTTCCTAATAAACTTATCTTTGTTGTACAAAAGTTTCCAAGGTCATCATCAATTTAAGCCACCCAAAAGTAAGTTTCAAAGTCATCAACAATCAACTCCCAACTAGTCTTCTAAAATTCAGAGTCTGTTGCCAAAAAGATTGCCTAACCTCAATTATCAATGCCACCAATAGTAAGTAAATCTGAAGGAAGTGATGCGGGATCAAGTTCCCAACAGTCTTTCAACAGTTCAGGGGTTTCATCACAAATAAGCTTCCGTGCTGGAATTTGATGAGAAACTAAGCACATGTCATCCTTCCCAAGAAATATAATAGCACCACTCCCCCTCTTTTGCCGCCTAAATACTGTCTTGTAACCATCAACCTTCTCAAGATACGCCATGCTCAGACCATTTGCCTCATTGTAACTTGTCAGACATACAACAATGTCATAGCATCTCTTGCGGTCCTCTGCATCAATACTTCCCTCGCCATGCAGCGCCCATACTGAGCCTTTCTTGGGGTAAATTTTGTAAAGTTCACGTGCTGCCCGGTCACAATCCACAACATGGGAAAATATATTTACCGAATTCACCGAAGTCTTCCTGGCAACCTTAAATCTCCCACAAGGTGTATGAAACCCCATTTTCTCCTTACTAACTATCCTCCCATCCCCAATGATCTGTACATCCAACCAACTTAATCTCACTTCAAAAGGATTCAGTGAAAGAGTTTCATCAATCAGGGCATAATTCCTCGGCATTCCATCATCATCGTCATACACTGCCCACACTTGACCTTTCTTAAAACTCTTCTCCACTCTATCTTTGTCAAAATCATAAAAATCTGAATCCACCACCGCCATGTTTTCCAACCCCCCTTTATCAGAATACCTATGCCTCGCAGATCTCAACCCCTTTCTCTTCGATAAACCCACAAGATTCTCCTCAATCCCAAGCCTCACACTCTTCTTCAAAGCCCTCCCCTCTCCAACCTCTAAACCTTCAGAGTTTTTCAATGCCCGCCGCCTCTCCACCCGATTGCTCCTCTTCTCAATTCTATCATCCTCCTTTTCCTTTTCTTTTTCCTTCAACTTTTTTTCCTGCAACTTTCTCCTCACCTCAGTCTGAAATTCAGCTAATGTCATCATTTCCTCCCCATTTTTAACCCTTTTAATAGGTTTGGACCTCTCCAACACCTCCCCAACTGAACGCATTCTCTTCCTCAATTTCCCTTCCTTCTCATCCCCCACTTCATTATCCACTTTCCCTCTCACACCAATTTTCTCCTTCTTATTTATCTCTTTCAACTTCAACCTCATACTCCTAACCCTACCTTCCCCATCACCATCCCCATCACTCTGAACCGTTTCCACAGCCGTAAAACTCTTCTCACAACTCGGGCACACCAATTCTTGACCCATATACTTTCTCTGAAACTGGTGAAGGAGCCTGCAAGTGGAGCAGGCGGTCCAGAACGTCTCGCTCTCCGCCTTGATCTTCTGTCGGAGCTCGGCATCGTACTCTCGGCGGCGACTCCGGTCGGAAAGGAGGTGGAAGGCCTCGCCGACGAGCTTGAAGGCCTCCTCGGACGCCACGTTGGGGTTCTTGTCGGGATGGAGGAGCAGTGCGAGCTTCTTGTACTGTCTCCGAATGACGCTGCTGTTTGCAAAGGGCTCAGCACCGAGCGCACTATACCAGTCCGACGCGGCGAGGACAGTGAGTGAAGTGACGGCCTCCGACACGCCGTCGAGGTGCGGGCACAGACGCTGCGCACGCTTCGCGTATTTGAGAGCGGATTTGGCGTTGTTGGAGGCTTTGAACTTGGACTCCGCCATGGCCTTGAGGCGCAGCGCTTCGGATTCTGGTTCCGAGTCCGTTATTGGTGGTGCCATTGGAACTGGAATGGGAGAGAATTAAAGTGAAGAGAGAGTGGACGTTGAAGAAAGTTGAGGGTGAGAAGAGTGGGTTTTCGAGAAAGTGGACAACGTTCCGGGCCAGGCCCGTAAAATAACGGGCCCCTTGTTATTCCAGCCCATTTTCACAACTAGTTATTCCCAACTTTTTTTAAAAGCAAATTGACAAAATTGTCCTTGGCAAAAATACGATTGTTATATGTCGTTCACACAATATTTCTCAAAATATACAACAAAAATATTCTCACTTTGAATATAAAAATAACACAATTGAAATAAAATTCTACTGCTTATTTCCGAAAAAATATACCACAAATTTTTTTAGTTGTTTATTTCAGACTATATGTTCAGAGAAAGCTTGTGTAATAAATTATCAAATACAATATAAGAAGTTACATTTTTAATTACAATTAAATTTGCTTTCTTTATAAAATTTAAATCATACCTGAACAATATTTTTTAATTAATAAAAACACAAAAGATTAGTTAGTTATTTCATTGTAAAAAACTGAATTGTTTTCCCTATATACGATTATTTCTTGGACATAATATATAGTTTTCTACACAAACCTTTTCATTTTGATGTAAACAAGTTTAATCCGGCTATTTTGTTTTTCACATTTTTATTTTATTTTATTTTTTCCGTTCCTTTTATTATTTGTAGCTCACAAGCTTTTTATGTGCTTAAATAAAGTCTAGAGAATAAATTATATATTTTTCAAGTATGACATTGATAATCCGGTTAAAGAATATACCATTGCTTTCCATCAATTTCTATATAATAACACCATAATAATTATTATTACTAATTAAAAATATAAATTGTTATGACGTTATTCATTAAGTCCTTATTTTAGGGGAGATAAATTAGAAGAAAAAATTAGCTTGTTTATAAGTTAAATTGAGTCTATTTGAAAGTTAAAATGTGCAAGTTTACTCATATAACTATGTAAACTAATTTTAATTTGTGAAAAATAAATTTATTTTTTCTCTTATTTTTTTATTGTAAAAGATTAAATAAAAATGTTCCTTAAGGAGCTGCTGGTAGTTATAATATAATCTCTTTTTAAAAAATATCATTTATTAAAAAAATTAGTTATATATAATAAATATTTCTTTTAAATTGAACATTAAAGTGTAGATTGAATGATAGATAAATTTTAAAATGTTAAAATATTTTCGTTAAATAACTTGCAATTTCTCTAATTTTTATATTAAGGAGATACATACTTTGGAGTAATAGATAAATTATATTATATTTGAGATTAATAATAAATAAATATTTTTAAATGGTAAAATTGTATTTTAGAATTAAATTAAATAACTTATATGATGATATATTACTATGTTTATAATTTAATCATATTTTTTAAAAGTACTTAAATTTATAACATATCTCGTTAAAAGCTCCTAAATCGTGTTCGAAAAATAACTCTTAAAATAGCTTATAATTTGTATACATAGAAGAGAAATGAAACTTGGTTAAAACATAAAAAGTAAAAACTTCAACCGTAACATTCCAAAAATATAGCATGAAAATTATATAAAAGAGTCATTACTTTAATAATAAGATAGAACAGTTTTTTTTTTCGAAAATTAGAGTTAAGTTACAGTTATCTTAAAATACCTAAAATATTAAAAGTTCACTAAATCAATTCCTATTACAAAATTATTCACAAGACCGAGCGATTTTTTACTAAGCCGAGGGGTCCTCTCCTTCCAAGGACTGCTCCACCGAGAACTCCTCTCTAACTGCTCACACCCATAGGATGGTCATTGCAAAAGAAGAATCGAACAGGAAACATGGACAAAAACAGGAAATAATGGTAAGCTAATGTAATTTAATTGTATACACATACATACATTTCAAACAAGTCCAAACAATGCAAAACCGAACACTACAACATACCAAAATCGAATACAAGCAAGCATATACAAACCAAACACTCAGGTAGTTATGACCGAACACTATACTCATGCATAGACCGAACACCATAATTCATGCATAGACCGAACACCATAATTCATGCATAGATCGAACACCTGGCTTGACCATCCGGATTGTATGAATGTGTACCTACAGGCATTTATGCACTTGTGGTGATGAAACAACAAGACCCCTATCAAGCTATCCCACAAGGTTAGTCCAGTGAAGATTACCTTCATACCCTGAGGTTAAAGGACCTCCTGCCATTCTCACACATGAGTTACTCCTCTCTACTTAAGAATGAGTAATCACAAAATATCAGGATAAATGTCAGCTTAACACGATACCCACATTCATACTTTACAATTCAAATACCATCCACGAGACATTCCTCCTTGGAATTCTCTTTCACATTACTTGAAAACATAAATCCTCACCAATTAACATAGCATGTCATTCACCAATCATATACTCACTCATAAGACTGAAAACCCTGTGAACTTTGGAGATCGAACCAGGACAGGACCGAACAGTCTATAACAAACAAGACCTAACAATTGACCGAACACTAGCGAAGGCCGACTATTAGGGAAAATTTAACACTATATTAAAGTTGAGTACTAAAACTAGGTTGAATACCAAGACTAAATCGAATGCTAGTATAAGACCGAGAGCTAACACTAGCATAACTGCTAGTATAAGACCGAGCACTGACACTAGCATAACTGCTAGCATAAGACCGAGCGCTAACACTAACATAAATGCTATTATAAGATCGAGCGCTAACACTAGCATAACTGCTAGTATAAGACCAAGCGCGAATACTAGCATAACTACTAGTATACGACCGAACGCTAACACTAGCATAACTGCTACTATAAGACTGAGCGCTAACACTAACATAAATGCTAGTATAAGACCGAACGCTAACACTAGCATAACTGCTACTATAAGACTGAGCGCTTGACCAAGACTGAACGCTAACTCTAGCATAATTGCTAGTATATGACCGAGCACTTGACCAAGACCGAACGATCAACTGTGCACACTCCGCGTTCTACATAATTCTGCCAAAATTCTGCAGAATTACGAAGAACACCAGAATTTACCCAAAACCAAATATTTTTCCCAACTTCTAATCCTCCAAACATGATTCCTACACCACTTCAAACCTATCTAAGGGTGCCTCAACATCTCTAACCTTCCTTCACAAAATGTCACACCAAAACCCACCCAAAAATCTGCATAAAACTCAACTCAAGAACCCAAAATCAGATTTTACCACTTTTATACATTTTTGGCCAACTTAATGATTCTAACAAGTCACAATGCACTTGTTCAAACTCACCTCACTGTCAAAAATCACTCCCAACCTCAAACTCTCATTTTCACCCTCTCACTTTCTCAAATTGACACTGACCGAACACTTTTTCTGTATAATACTCTCCAAATCCAGTTCACAAAGTTCATTCCTCACATTCAATTGAAAATAGAAATTCAACATGCATTTAAATCAATCATACAATTCATTTCAACCTATAAAAATACAAGTTAAATTATTTAGCTCCCTTTTCCTTAAAATAGCTGGACCAAAGGAAAACCTTCACTGAATTGGCTATCCCACTAGCACAAACACAACCTACAAATCTTTGGATTGGTGAGAAAACACCATCCACCGAACCAGAACTAAGAATTAGACTCAGAGGAGGTGAAGAAGGACACATGCAAGCAGAACACAACTTGCATGCAACTAAAACGTGCAGAAAACACCAAGGACAAGAGAAACCACTTACTAGTGATTAAACCAGTAACTGAGAGAAGATTCAGCAGCTCCAAACTGCAGAGATACTCATATTTGAGCTATTGAAAGAACAACACGACTTGAATAAGTGGAAATCTAGATAGAATTTGTAGAGAGAAGGAGGAGAAAATAAAACTCAGAAGTTTGGAGAGAAGAGTTGCATGCAGAGAGTGACACTAAATTTTAAAACTTTCGTTTATATACTACTGTTAAAATCGATCGATCCTCCCAGCTGCATCCACTTGTCTTCCTCCACTTTCTCTAGATTTCACGGTCTTTATATCAACAAATTTGACAATAGTTATATAAGTTTATCAACCGTATTGAATTAATAAATTATCTTTTAACAAATATTTAATAGAGAATCAAGTAAAAGAAATGTAAAAATTAAGAAAAGGTGTAAATTGACTCTGTCAGTGTCATTTATTTGAGATATTTGCAATAATGAAAAAAAAAGGGAAACGAGAAATTGTGGGCATAGGGAGTAAACGGGGATTTCACAAACTGTGCAAAATGGGAACGAAAATCTCACTGGACAGCGACACCGTACGACGATCCATGGGTTCCTCTCCGTGAACACCCAAAACCAAACAACACAAACATTAACCTTAACCAAACAAACCCTAATTTTTGATCTGCCCCTAATTCATTGTTCCCTTCTCATCTATTTCTAAATTAATTCTAGATCATTTTTTGCTGTATTTCCCGAATAAAATCCCCCGAATAACCTTCCTGCTACCCACTAAATCCATTTTTCTTTACAATTTTTATTCTGAGCATTTGATTGTCGCTTCTACCGCTTGTTTTTGTTATCTTCAGCAGATCAACTTTTTCTACTCTGCTCCAGCTTTGGAGGATCCACAGTCTCTTTCTGAGTGGTAATTTGAAAATTCTCAGCTTGAATTAAATTGAATTGTTCATATTGCTAGCTTTTTGAGATGCATAAATTTCACTTCGTATCCTGGGTTTTATCTTGGTTTTCTGAACTCTGGATATTGTTGCCTTTCAATTTTGGTGGAGATTAATGCTGTAGTGTTATCATAGAATTAAATAGAACTTGCACCATCTTTGGTTTAGAGATAAGATAACGCAGGGCACCATTACAAGTTGGATTTTGACCTATCTTTGCATGGATTGGGTGGGAAAAAAAGGATTAGTGCCTTGGTTGGTTCTTATTGTTACAATTGATATTGACGATATACTGATTCTGTAGACTAATTCAATATAAAAATCATGTGATTCAAGTGTTTTATCTAACTTGCTCAACTTTACAGTGATTTTTATGTAAGTTTTGAAGAAGAATAGTGTCTTTGAGGCTGTCTTGTAATGAAAGTTATGTTTGGTGCAGGATGGTTTAGTGTATATTTTTAAGATACTGATATTAGAGTATGGGCAGTAGTGAGATGGATAAAGCTCCAAAAGAGAAGGAGTCAAAGACGCCACCACCTATGTCACAGGTCTAATTTTCTTTATGTTATCTCCATTGATTCTTAATGGTTAGTACATTTGTTGTGACGCCAAAACATTGTTTTTCCAGGAGCAGTCTTCAACCACCGCTACTGGAACAATTAATCCTGATTGGCCTGGATTTCAGGTTTCTAATGAAACAGTTTTTACTAGCATATCATTTTTATTATTTTCAAGATTGAATTTTGGTTCACCCAGCTCCCTTATTTTCTAGGCATATTCTCCTATACCTCCACACAGTTTCTTGGCATCAAGTCCACAGGCTCACCCTTATATGTGGGGTGTCCAGGTAATTATCACTTCTATTATAACTGTCACTTATATTATAAATACCAATCCCGCCTACACGATAATGTTAATGTTTAAATTTGCTTTGTGCTATTGCTTAGTCAAATCTAAAACCTAACTGGACCATACTTAAGCTTTGGCCAAATGGAAAATATTGAAGTTAATTTAGAAATTAACTCCTTGTTCTCTTTGATCTATTGCTATTATGAAGTTTATAGGGTTTTAGGTAGGGTAGGCTGAAGAGAGGTGATAGGCTAGTGAATAATATGAATTGGTATACCAAATTAAAGCAATAAGTTTTATTAGTTCTGATACTAGATTTATAATTCTAATTGAATAAGGAAACAAATCATTAAATACAATAAAGTGTGAAAATGAATCCTAGAATATTTTAAATTATGCCATCATTCATATAATAATTGTTTGATATCCCTAATCAACTAGAAATATGGTTAAATTATAATTTATAAGTGAGTGCAAACTTTACCTTTCAAGCCAATTTTATGAGATTGAGTTAGATTTGAAGTTCACTTACTAAGAATGTTATGAGATATTTTCTAGATATTCTAATGCTCACTGTCCTCTAGCTAAAGTCTTAAGCCTTTTACAAATGAAACTGTGAAAAGGGAAAAGAAAAAGAAATATGAAGTGATTTTTCTAATGCTGGAGATGTTGGAGATCAGTATATCTGGTAATATATCTTCTCAAGGGAGCTGTAGCAATCCTTAGGTTGAAAAGCTGGTTGGAGAGTTGCATGACCACAGAAGAGATTTTTCTAGGGGTGATCATTAGTAGAAAATTTCTGGCTAGGAGTTATAATGGGAAAAAAACTTTAACTTCTATAATATACAGTGTAAAAACTTAGGAGACCTTAAAAATTTGGAAAGATGACTGTTGAATATAGTGAAAAACTATATTTGAATTAATCTCCCTTGTGTAAAATATACACATAGGGTTCTCTATTTATAATAGAAGAAATATGGGCTAAGCCCAAAATACAAATGAGAAATAATAACAAACTAACTAAAAGATAAAAGATATAATATATCTAACAATGACCTACAAATTGTATTTGGGGCTGGTGTGAATCATGACCAAATCCAATCACCTGAAGAATGGCAGGAAGAGCGTCATCATCAATCTATCAATCAGTACAAAGTCACTATTGACATGATCATTAGCTGAAAAAGAAGTCACCAAACTGGTAGAAAAGTCAGTGTCACAAAAGCAAACATCCAAAAAGAGCCTAACTGCCAAAATCAGAGATAACCACAAAAAGAATGCCAAGAATCAAGCCAAGACAGCTGAAAACAGCTAACTCTTGATGAATGCAGGAAAAACACCAAATTTGAGTGTCACACAATTGATTGGAGGCCAAGGGAGCTAAACAAGCTCATGGAGGTGGAAAATAAATGTGATAGAGCCTAGACCAGATGGTGCAGTGAGGCATGCAATGGAAAAATGGTGTAAATATGGGTTCACACTTTTCAATGCACTAAAATAAAGGATGTCAAATATGGGATAACAGCAAAACAAAGACCTCGATCTGGTTGGTCAAGGTGAGACTAGATCTGAAGTGAGAAGAACAGATCACACGCCAAGCAAGATGGTGGCTGATGGAAGGAGGGGTATAGATTTTGGAACAGTGAAATATTGGTCATGTGTGAGTGTGAATTGCGCAGGTATGATGGCAAGGTTACATCAGTGGCAGGTCATCTGCAGCACATTGGAGGGCTTGCTGCCATTCAAAACTGTGAGGGAGAATGGTTATTTCAAAAACACATGGTAGAGGATGACAAATGACAGTCGCTGAAAATCAGCATTGGCATTGATGGACTAGGTCATGGAAGATGGTTTTGATGACCATGTTCAAATTATACGGGTTTTATGTGGGGTATGAGGAAGTGTGAGATTTTAGAAGTGAATAATTTTAAAATCATATGCTTTTGATGGAATACTTAACAGAGAGCCTTAATGCCAATAAAATAAACTAATATTAGATTCCTGATCTTTATTAAACAAGGAAGCAAATCATGAAATATAAAAGATGATCTAAGAAACTCTAAAATACTTTAAGATACAATGATGTTATTATAAGATTTTTTTTAGTTATTCTAATCAACAATAATCAGTAAACAGCATGTGGAAGAACATTAATAAAACTAAATTTACCTCTTGATTTGATTGCAGCTTGAAGCTACAAGTATATATTCATGTTTGATCCGGATCATATTCATGAATTAGAAGAGTTTTATACATTTTTAATTGTTGGCCTGTGAAGCGAATTCCGTGTTTACCATTATTTGTGTTGTGGCATATCAGTTATACTCTGGTAAAGGCACTGATGTCGGTGGACTGGTTAGTGGCGTGGTGGACAATGGTGGATTTATTAGTAGTCTTTGTTGACTGTTATTGTTTGGAAGGAACACAGCTATGGTAGTGGTGATTGGTGGCATGTAAAATTTTTATAGTAACTTGAGACTTGCTTATGGTTAGGACTGTATCTCTTGCGAAATACTTGCTTCTCCAATATGCATTTATTGTGATTGATGGTGCTCCTAATTCCTTGCATTTTTAACTAAAGTTTAACTATTTTGTTAAAGTTTTGTTGCATCAGGACCCTGTATGTTTTAAAAAATGGCAGGCTTGTATGTCCTAATTAGGAGTCGACACAAACCATTTTTGTCTTTGCAAATGAAGTCTGAAGATTTTGGTCCTAGATCGTTGAATGGTCTTGTTTATTATCTTTTTTTGTTCTTCCAATTGTTCAATATCGTGTCTACTTTACATCTAGTCTACACTTCACTAACAGTATGAAATATCTCATTTATCTTAATATCTCTTTGGTTCATTAATGAAATTTTTATTTGCAGCAATTTATGCCTCCCTATGGTACTCCACCACATCCATATGTTGCAATGTATCCACCTGGTGGCATTTATGCTCATCCATCCATGCCTCCGGTATTCTTTGTAAAACTGTGCTTTCTTCAAGTTATCACTTTGAATCATTGGCTGATCAACTACTTTTGTCTCAAATTTATACAGGGATCTTATCCTTTTAGCCCCTTTGCTATGCCTTCTCCAAATGGCATTGCTGAGGCTTCAGTGAGTTTCCCCTTCTGTATTTTAATGCTCATTCTCACCTTTTCTTTTTCTCTGCCTTTTCCCTCTTCTGTGCAGAACTTGTCCTTATCCACGTAAGGAAAAATAATTTATTAGTTTGCCTGCAGGGAAACACTCCTGGAAGCATGGAAGCCGATGGTAAGCCTCCTGAGGTGAAGGAAAAGTTGCCAATCAAAAGATCAAAAGGAAGTTTGGGTAGTTTGAATATGATCACAGGGAAAAGTAATGAACATGGTAAAACAACGGGAACATCTGCTAATGGAAATCATTCAAAGAGGTAAGATGTGTTGTGTTGATCAATCTTGTTAAATTATGTACCCTATTATTTGAATCAAAGCAGTCAAAGAAAGACACTTTTTACTTCTAAATGTCTTACCTATTTGCCAGATTGCTGATTTAAGATTGATAGTTCATGAAATAATGCATCCATCTTTTTGCATGGCATAGTATTTTGCTATGATATGTCACCAATCACCATTATCAGTCATTATTTCTGTAGCTAGGGTGAATAATATAACTAATATATATTTGGAGGCCTTATTATTTAAATAGAACTCAGGCTGACATATCCAAGAGCAAATTCTTAAATTCAGAACCGGAGGAATGAATATGACTTTGACATGATGTCCATCTATTGTTGGTAACATTTGCTTCCATATCTCTCTAGTGTTAAAGGAATGACCATCATTTAAATTGATTAAATCATTGGTCTTACTTTTCTTGTACTCTGGATCATGGAAGTGAAGTTAGAAAATTGTTTGACTTTATTCAAATAAAGCAACTGCTTACGGGCTACTTTGGTACATGATTTTGTTTCAGCCCTGCAGAGCCTAGCATTATCTGAACTACAATGATAACATGTAAATGACTTCGGGTTCATGAATACCATATACTGTTGATTAGGGAATAGAAACAGTAGTCAGTCACTTCCAGAAGTTGATGTTTCCATTGTCATTTTAATTTTAGTTGGTTTATTGCAGTGAAGCATGTATGCATTATTTTACAGTTTTGTGCTTTGCTGTGTATTTAACTTTAAATTACAGAAATTGCATTTAATATTTATTTTACTGTTTTAGAATGCCTGAGAACCCCTACGCAGTTATTTGACATAGATGTTTTTTATACATTGCTGTATTTTCCTGTAAATAATTCTTAAGATGATATTGGGTTTGGCATTGGTTTATTTTTTTAATCCTGTTGTGTATTGTTGCCTTGCCATTTGCATTTGCATACGGGTGACTTATGCTGATAAGAAATATTGTATTTGTAGTGGTGATAGTGCAAGTGAAGGCGAAGGTACTAGTGAAGGAAGTGATGCAAATTCTCAAAATGTAAGTTCAGGGACAGTCCTCACTCTAATGTTTTGCACTATGTTTTCGATATGCATTCATTAATATTTAGTTGCAGTATTAAAGGAATATACAATAACGACAAAATATTTATTTAACTAAGTTTGGTTGGTTTATTGGATTGTATTTCATTGACTTTATTAAAGACCAAATTCTCGGGGATATTATTCATTATGGGATTCCTCTTAACAATTTCCTCTAGTGTCCTCCTTGGTCTTTGCCTCTTTTCATAGGACTAAAAACCATGATCTACTCTTTTCACCAATGCTTCCAGTGATCATCCTTATTTGTCCAAACTTCCTTGACATAATATTTTTGTCATCTCTTAACCGATTGATACCTCATCGATATTTTCTCATATGTACTCATTTTGTATCTTGTCCTCTGTAGCATGTTCACACATCCACCTAAAGTTTTAAGGAGGATAAATGTAAAATTGGTGAAAAGAACATATTACTGAATAGAATACTGTAGCTCTTTCTATACTGCCTAAATATAATTCCCATCCAATTGCTATCCTGACAAACTTTAATTCTATTATTCTGAATAAGAACTTTAATTTCCCTAATACAGTTCATGTTGTGAGGGGAAAAGGCAATGAACAACTTTCAAAATTATTTGTTATTGGATTTATGGAATATAAGTGGTGAATTAAAGTTTTCAGGAAATCAAGAGAGCTTATGTATTTTATTAAAAGCTTGTTGCTAAAGCTTGTGTGGCTAGAATGAGGGGAATCAATTTGCATTTACATAAAAAGGTGCACACTCAAAGCTATTTATTTTCAGTGGGCTGATCTTGGAAAGATATGAATGCAAAGAATGAGATCTATGTCTGCTTTTTTATTAGCTTGGAAAAAACATTTTATCGAGTGACTTGATAAGATTTGTGGAAGGCTTTGGAAAAGAAAGGAATTCATTTTACTCATATTTAGGCTATATGAAGGCATGTATTGTAGGGTAACTAAAAGTGTGAGAAGGAACTCATGGAGGTGGAACTAAGGATTTTCCTTGTATGTGATTAGCAGAGACAAATTGTCCCTAAATGCTGGTATTTTGTCAATGTTGTCAAAAGTGAGTGTGCTCACGAATTTGCATGATCCTGTGAGAATGGGACACCCAAGCAAGCCAGCAAACACACAAGGTGGAATAGGGAAGTTGTGCATTGTATTGATCCTGAAAGCGTTTGTGCAGCCTATGGATCTCAATTGCAAATCAGAACCAAACTTCTTGTGTGACACTGCTATACACGATTGTGGTCATCATCAACTCTGCCTTACTGTCACTGGTCATCACAGTGCTCCCATTGTTGTCTTTGGCCATCACAGTGTATTGTTGTTGCCGGCCATTGCAAGGCTTGTGTCGAAGTTGCCAGCCATCTCAGCACTCCCATTGTTAGTTCTGACGCTCACATCTTCATCAAATAGACTTGCATTGCCATTGTCATTGTGGCTGTCATCATCATCTGGTTCTGCAGGCAGTGACAGTAACTGTTGGGGATGTGTCACTCTTCACTATTGTTGGCTGTTCAGTGTTTTTCTTCATAGTGATCTTATTTTAGTAAAAAATGTAACAGCTAACACAATCATCCTACTTTACTTAGGATGGATTGACTATGGGACTACATATAAGTGGAGTTGGAGTCCGGAGACCAGGGATATTGGAGGACATTATTAAAGGGAATAAGGTTATTGTTATAAAACAACAAAATATTACCAGGCTCTGTGAAAGTTTTTTGATGTAAAATAGCATAAGCCATGAAGTATTAATGGATGTTCAATTTTATTTTTTGATGTCTATGTCAGATAAACTATATACATATAAATGGCAACCATGTTTAGACATCGGAGATTGGGTGTGGGTTGCATAGCTCCTGCTGCTCTTGCTTGTGAGGGCACAATTGACTATTTTCTGAAAGATACCCTACATAAATTCTGAGTTAGTTATTATGGTTGGTATTTTAGTATTTATTCTTTTTTTTTTTTCATAGGACTCTCAATTGAAATCAGGGGGCAGACAGGATTCTTTTGAAGGTTTGCCGAGCTTACTTTCTTATGTTTCAATATATATAGTTTATGACTTTGTGGTGTATTGCCTTATGTTGACCTCTAATGTTTGTGCGCTTTGGCTGAAATGTATCTTTTCTATTGAATTATAGATGAACCATCTCAAAATGGCACTTCAGCATATACTCCTCAAAATGGGGGCCTAAGTGCACCTCCTACTGCGGTCAATCAAACTCTGCCTATCATACCTATCTCTGCAGGTGGTGCTCCTGGAGCTGTTCCTGGTCCCACAACAAACTTAAATATAGGAATGGATTATTGGGGTACACCAGCTTCTTCCAACATTCCTGCACTTGCTAGAAAGGTTCCATCTACTGCAGTTGCTGGATCACGGGATAGTGTTCAATCACAACTCTGGCTACAGGTTACTTTTGACTACAGACTGATGATATGATGTTTGTTAACTTGATAACATATTAATTTATGTCCTAATTGGGAAGTTCATGACACTTATTTTCTGGCTGTGAGATATTCTGAGAATCTTATACCTTTGCGGAGGTTTGTAGGCTCAAACAACATTGTGAAAATGATCACTATTTGCAGCATAGTCGTCAATTGTGTGTAATTGAGTTGCAATTAAAGTGTGGTGGACTGGAGCAGCCCCTTGCTGCTCCCAAGTCACTCGTCACAAACTACATGGATGTCATGTCTGTTGGGGCTGTTGCTGTTCCATTCACAGTGTAAATCATACAAATTGCAGCCCTCACCACTGCTCCTTTGTTCGTTCTCTCAACTTGCAAGGCTCTGCAGCTTTGCCGTTGTTGGACATGGGCTGTTTGCCATTGTTGGGCACTGTGGCCTTTGCTGCTGCTCAGCCTCTATGACCTTTCACTACTCTGCATTCTCTTGCTTGTTTGAGCCTGCTATAGCTAATAGCAGCTAATGGGTTGGGTCATAATTAGATTCAGTGTTTTTTTTCTATCTCTTGTCTGTTTTGAATGGTCGTGCCTGAGGCCAATTGCTTTTTTCTTTTGTTTTTGTGTGTAAAACGTGACACAATTATAATAAACTGAATAATAATAATAAATGTAATTGTATTGAAAATAAAGTATAATATATAATATAAGAAAGCTAAATAATAATAGTAAATATAATATAATATTCTGAAATATGAAAAACTATTTAAAGAATCACGTATAAGGTAATAAACTAAATTATAATAATAAACCTAATAAAAATTTATGTGTGATATAATAAATTAAATAACTATACTGATGAAAGCTAGATAAAACACAATATACAATATAATAAATTAGATAATAATAATAAAAAGATTCTAAATAATATATTAACAAGTTAAAATAATATAAAATTAAATGCATTTTTATATAAAACAAGTTATATAGATGCTAAAGTATAAAAAAAGTTTTGTATGTGTGTGCGCCTGTGTGTATTGTATATGTGTATATGTTAAAAAAAATTAAAAATAGGAATAAAGAAAAAGTAAGCATAATAGTGGTCATTCTAAAAATTGTTTCTCCCAACCACTACATAGCTTAAGAGGGTTAGTATTTTAGTTGTATCTGTGGGGATACCTAATCAAGTTCTTTCTTTTAGTGAATATGTTTTTGTCAATGTGGCATTTATTAAATCATGTTTCTTTTGTATTGTAATAGTTAGTTGTTAATTCCTAGCAAAGCCAAATTACTGTTTAGCTTGTTTTGGATTACTTAATCTGCTTCTGCGGACGACTGATTCTTCACTCAGTCGATGCAAATGTGGCGTCATTAACACTTGTTTGCTTAGCTGCATACTTCAGTAAGGCAATTTATTAACATGTGGTGGGTGTTATTAGTGCTTATTCTTTAAACCCTTTGCTAAATCTTTTTGTTTTTAATATGTTGGGTTAAGAAATTTGGTTCAAGAAGTCAGGTAGCAAGGATATGCACTACTGTCTCTTTACAGGCTATGGTGGTTCATTTGATCATTTAGAGAAGAGATAGACGTTTTCGTTAGAAGATTTTTACTTTGGTTTTACCTTGCTATGGTGTTGTGATCTGTTTTGGTCGGTACTGGTTGAAAATTAAGAATGATTGAAAACATTTCCTTTGGGATTTCTAGAGTCTGAGATCTCTTCTCTAGCCAATCTTTCACTCAGCAGAAAGCCGATAGTGTTGTCTTGCTATCGCTTTATGGTCCAACCTCTACCAATCTGCTAGAATTCCAAGTTATCACCACGAATGTTAAAGGGCCTCACTATAAAAAAAATCCGCCCATTTTCTTACCTAATAGTTTGACATGATTAGGTTGCACCTTCTTAACTTGTAAAAAAGGGGTACTGAAAAATCAGGTAGAAGGCTGCCCCTCCGGTGTGTTTTCTTGGGGCTCAGAAGTATGGGAATTTGTGTCCAATTGTGAATTTATGTTGTGATATTTAGTGTTGGCAGCAATCTCATAAGGGGGCATAGAGCCACTGCATTTTTAACAAATGAACATAGTTATATTGATTTTTTGCCCAATGTTCAAATTGAGACTAAGGTCACGTACTCATGATCCTGCTAGTATAAGGATGTTACGAGCTGCGAGGAGCTGATAAAAAAAAGAAAAAATGAGTTTATGAGGATCAGGGGAGGTGTGGATCGCTTCATGATTGCAAGGTTGCTTGTCAATTTGTGGGATCATGTGCTGCGCTGATCCTTTCCGTTTTTTCAGTTAGTGTTTGACACCCCATTTCTTGGCTCCCAGCCTGAAAACAAAGCCCAATCCATCCCTTTTGTTCTACTAGGGTTTCCACACATTTGGAAATCAGAAACGTAAGAAAGGAGGCAGATGATGACGATGAGTGCACCTCCAATGCTGATGCTACCATTGCTGTTGAACAACCATCACCGTCGTCGTTGACAAGCAGCAAAGCACTAACACAGCCCAACCAACACTAGCTTCACTGTTGTTAGCATGGCAGTCACGACCATAGTTGTTGGTGCTGCTTTCATAGTCATTGCTGCTCACTCGAAATCTATTAAGCATCATTGAATTTTATGCATTGTGAACCTAATTTTAGTAGTGTTATTGGATCTTACTTCTTAAGACTTATTATGAGTTACTTTTATTGTCTGAGACCTGATTTTCAACTTTTATTGTTGCTTATTAGTTTCTTCAATTCTTTTGTTACCTTTCAGGATGAAAGAGAGCTTAAAAGGCAAAGGCGAAAGCAGTCTAACAGGGAATCTGCTCGCAGATCCAGGTTGCGTAAGCAGGTAATACAGAGTACCCTATAGTGATTTCTCTGGTTGATTGATCATAACATATCTTAACTCCTGTGTGAGATTTTTCTAAAGGCCGAGTGTGATGAGTTAGCTCAGCGTGCTGAGGCTTTGAAGGAAGAAAATGCTTCTCTCCGGTCAGAAGTTAGCCGAATCAGGAGCGATTATGAGCAACTACTCTCCGAGAACACTGCTCTCAAGGTAGTCTCAGTACCATGTTCTGTACGACATCGATTTACCTATCCTAGCAAAGAATAGAATAGGTTCAGAGTGATAAATTACATATTTGAAAGTTATTCAGTGAAAAACATAGATATAACTAAACCTCTGCATCATTCTCCTAGAATCCTTTTACGTATGAATATTGACCATGTTTTTTGATCTACAGGAAAGGCTTGGGGAATTACCTGCTAATGATGATCATCAAAGGTCTGGGAGGAGTGATCAACATGTGGGTAATGATGCTCAACAGAATGGGCAGACAGAGGCTGTGCAGGGTGGTCACTAGCACCTACCAACCACAGCATGCCACCTTTCACGGAGATAATCTAACTTAATAGCAAGAGCAAGATCTTGTTTCGGATAGCTTGTAGTTCAAATTGTATTAAAGCTTACCATTTTATAGTGTTAAGATATGTTTAATGTTATATGATCCTTCATTCCTAATTTGCCTTCATTTTTACTCATTCAAAAACCTGGATTGTATGTAGTGTGTGAATTCTGTGTCATACCTTATCTTTAGCTTAAAAGTTAGTGTTCGCATTAAGCAATATAGTTAATGAACGTGAGTTTGCCCATTATATGATCTTCTGTACAAGTAATTTATGGGGAAAATAAAGAAAAGAGAATCTTTGAATTCTGTTTCATGACAACATCGCAACGTAGCCTTTTAGATGATATTTTTGCATTACACGCTTACTGAAACTGCTTTTGTTTTGACGAATTAAGAAGTTTTAAACTGAATTTATTCCGCAGCATGAGCTAGTGAAAATGCTCAAACAATTGATGTCATACAGCAGTTCAGACAAGAATGTGTCTTTGAGGATGTAAGGTCTCTCATGTTAAGCCATTATTCGTATTGCACCCCAAAAAAAAGTGTTTGTTTGATTTAACATCAATCTTATTTAAGAAACTATTTAGGGTAATTTAGTTTGGATACTATAGTTGAGGTCAAGTTACAATTACTTTATAGAAAGTAATTGCAGACGGTGACGTTTCATGGAGAAAGATGTGGTAAGCGGTGTTCTACTAGAAAGATGGTGACATTTAAAAAATAATTTTATTAGAAAAATAAAATTCAACAGACATGTGTCAGTTGATGTGTAAGCATGTAGATGTCTACGTATAACTTCGTTTACCATGTGAAACAAAATTTAATGTTACTGGTAAGGAGAGGCTAAATTCATTGCTTTAGAAAGTGAGAAGACTAAACCAAATTAAAGTTTCAATAAAGAGAATAATTACAATTTTTCAATATAATTGGGGGATTAAAATCAATTAACATGTTAATATTTTGTCGTTTTATTGTAATTCATTTAATATTATATAGCAACTTTTCAAACAATGTGATATTAACAGGGGAGAAATTGAAATAGTTTGCATCACAAATAGGGGGAGCAATTCATTTTTGACATTATTGTGTAAATCTGTTGATGTATCTTTGTTTGATTCACTCTCTCTCTGCTTTAAATATATATTGGGTACTTATTCCTTTTTTGCTAATGTCTAAACGGGGTGAAATCGGGGTGAAATAGTTGAGATAGTTGAATTTGGATGACATATATTTGTGACCATGTGTCTGTTTATAACTGTATAAAACAATTTCTGATTGTGTATTATATATCATGGTTGTGCATAATCAAAAAGGGAGAACTTGTTGAAAGGGGAAGCAATGTGAGTGCTAAATCCAATCCATGTGCCTATTTTTGATGATGACAACACATCGATTGTAACAACACATAGATGTTATCATGACACAACAAAAATGTGTATTTGTGATTGATACATATGTTGCTATGAAAATATTTCTTGATGAATACATATGTTGATATGTTGTTTAGTTTACATACTTCTGTGATCATAATTGTACTTATATCTCTGTAACTGAATATTTTTGTGTGTTAAAACCATAAGCACAAAGCAACTCTGTATGAAATAATCGATTACCGTAATGTTGTGATCAATTAAGTTCATAAGATAACCTATGTTTTTAAATTGTGGCTAAACAACAAGTTTTAAATCGATTACATTAAGTGTAAAATCGATTAAAACCCGTGCCTTTGCAAACATATTGTAGAAATGTGCTGTGATGAGTTTTTCAAGAGAATTTTTTTTTCAAAATCTATTTAAGTAAAAAGCTTAATCGATTACATTGGTTATGTAATCATTTAAGTCTGTTATAATTTGAAAACTGTTATCGAGCTTAGTCGTATATGCAATAACGGTCCTATTTTTAAATATGTTTGACTAACATTTATGGAAAATCGATTACATTAATTCTGTATTCTGTTGGAACAACTAGTACCAATTTTGCGCAGCGAAAATATAAAATCAGAGTACGATACAGATTGTTAAAAGCAAAGAGCTTGTTAGGTCAATTTTAAAAATGATTCCTTTAATATTCTCTTAAACGTTTTATTAAACAGTTGATGTGCAGAAAATGTAAAGAGTGTAGGAAGTAGAAAAAATCACACAAATGATTTTTATCCTGGTTCGAATCAAAAGATTCTACGTTCAGTCGTTAATGACTATGAATAGTGATTAACTTTTTCACTAAAAACAATTTTGCAGATTACAATATAGTGAATGAAATAAGAATGATAAAACCTTCATTTGACGAACGAACCGGAAGAAAACCTCATTCGACGAACAAACCGGAAGAAAACTTCCTTCGACAAACAAACCGGAAGCAAGCAGTGAACACTTTCCTTCGACAGACGAACCGGAACAGTGCAGCAAATATCTTCCTTCGACCAACGAACCGAAAAAAAACAACTCTGCCAACTTAAAGAAAACCGCTCCAACCTTTGACACACAAAGCGCGAGCTTCTCTTATTCACAAGACTTGACAAGAACAATGAACTAACACTTGAGAACTTCCTCAGATCACACTGTATTCTCAAATGACTTAGATCCCTTTCTAAAGTGTTTGGCAAAGATATATATAGCCTACTGGTTCGAAACTAAAGAGATGCATTACAACTGCCAGTGATAATCGATTATTATAAGTGATAATCGATTATCTGTGAGACTTGGAATAATTTAGAATATTTATTCTTCAACCGACCCGTTCCAGTTCTTCACCTCCTTTTATCGTTCGGTTTGAGTCCTGATTGCCTTCTGCCGTTCAGTTTGAGTTTGACACCGTTCGGTCATCAACTTGTGTTCGGCCAGTGTTAGTGACTGTTCGATATTACTGAGTTTCGCCAATGTTCAACTTCGTTCGGTCCTGAACTGTGTTCGACCAGTGTTCACCCTGTGTTCGGTCTTGAACTGTTATACACTACCAAGCCTTCAACTACTACATACCGTTCGGTCTTTGACTATTTAGTGATCGTTCGGCTGTTGACATATAGGTACCGGTCGATCTTCTAATTGTATTCGACCATGAACAGTGTTCGGTCTTTATCGACCGTTCGGTCTTCTAGCTGTATTCGGCCATGAACAATGTTCGACCTTTATCTATTATATGTCGTTCGACCTTCAACTGCTGAGTGACCGTTTAACCTTAATTTGATACGACCGTTCAGTCACTGTCATGCCTTCCACTGCTTGGTCTTGGTCATAACTTTACCGCTCAACCCTAAGTTCTCGATCATGACTGCTCGTGTGCTGACTGCTCGGTCATGAAGTCTACCGTTCGGTCTTGATGTCTTCTCTTATGTATAAATGCTTTTAAATTCATACAACAGAAGTCTTCTTATTCTTCACTTTGTAACATCATCAAAATCATTATCTTCAAGATACCAATGCTCCTCATTGGTTACATATTCAATTAGAAATGTGTTAGTTGTAATACTATTACATCTACTACTAATGTAACTGATTACATTACTAATGTAATCGATTGTAATACTGTTACATATGTTACATTACACATATATGTAACAGATTGATCATTCTAAACTTTCATATCTAATATCTTTGATTTGAGAAAAGTGTTATAAGTGTTGAGACGGTCCAAGAAACAAGATTCATAGAGTTTGATACATCTTGATGGTTTCTTGAAGAAAAAATCTGGATTTACATTGCTGATCAATTACTGCATGAGTGAGGTGTATTCTTACCTGATCAGACTTCGTTTTCTACCATCTTAGATTATGTTGATTCCCTATGCGTGTGGCCAGGAAGAAGAGTGAGGAGCTCTTGGTACTTTGAGAAGTGATCTCAAAGGGTTATGTAGTGAAGACATGTGGTTCTTTGTGCAGGTATTATCTTTCTATATTTGATTGTTGAGTGGGAGAGGTGTTTACATTTGAGAGAGTCTTTGTAGAACCTTTGGTGTAAAACTCAAATCATTATAGTGAAAGATCCTTCAATCCAAGGTTGATTGGAAGGAAAACTGGATGTAGGCATTGAGGTCAAACCAGTATAAATCCTCTGTTTGTATTTCTCTCCTTATCTCTTTTACTTTCACTGCATACGCGTCTTACTTAGATTACAAGAAAGGTTAAAGATCATTCTAAGTTTACGAAAAGATTTAAAAAGCATTTGTTTTTATTGTTCACCAATTCACCCCCTGTTGGTGTTGAGAAACAAGACACTTCATTTCTAACACTAGTAATTTAATTCGCTTTGTGTCACAGGATGAACTAATCAATCATCTACCACATCTAACTTAAATTAGGTGAAAGCTAGTTTAAGTTATAAATCCAATATTTGAATAATCTAATGATAAAGCCTGATCATTAATCCAATGAGTTCATTCATCGGAAGTGGAGAAATGCCCTGAGTTTGAATGTCTTTAGATATTAAGTTTCAGACATGGTTCTAAATTACATTAGTGTACTTTTAGAAACAATGAATGAACCTTGGTAATTCAATAAAACAATAATCGTGCCTAACAACAAAGTAGTGAAGCATAATCCCAACACGTTTCATCTCATTAAGTTATTTGTTTTACCTTTGAATTCTGGATCAACATTGTTTTACAACCAATCTATTAAAATAAAAAATTTAATGTTATACTTTTTTTTATAAAGATTGATCAAATCCTTATGGATATGACAATTGGTACTACAATTAAATCAGTGTGCACTTGTTGATGTGATTGCTTTATTTAGTGGTCATCACACGCTAATCCATAATTTTTATCGGTTATAAGTATCCAATATAAGTTAATTTTGAGATCAATTTGACATTTATCTTATTTTGATTCTGTTAAATATCTGAAAAAATAATCCTAATTTGAATTGTTTTGCAGATTTTGACTATAGAGAGTTAAAGGGGAAAAATAAAGAAAATGGAGGAAATCCAAACAATTTTGGATAAAACTGAATTTGGCGTGGCTGAGCAACAATCTTGAGGCTTGAGGCACATAACAAAATCCGCCTTGGAGGAAAACTTCAAGCATTAAACCTGAGGCTAAGCCATGAAAACTCCTTCTCAAAGAAGTTATCTAAAAGGCTACAACACAAAAAGTACGAGTCATAAGTCATAAAGAAAACCCACACTGGAAGAAAACCTTTGTAGTTAGAGCCACATTTTCACTATCGAAGCCACATCTTAGAAAGTTTATACAAATAGAGTTGCTCTTTTGTTTTAAAGACTTCTGACTTTAGAGAAAGACTTTTGAAGAGTTTTCCAAACATTTTCCTTTGTATTTAGAGAATATTATTAAATGTTGATAGGGGGAGCCTAGCTTCTA